GGGCTCTGCTAGAGCTGGGCATGAGGTGGCTCACACAGTCCCAGCAGAGGCCTCAGGGCCTGATGACCGGCAGCTAATGTTTACCAGACCAGCATGTCCCAGGCACACTATGTGCACAATCTTGGCTCCTCCGGGAGCCCTTGAAGATAGGCATCTTAACAGCCCTTGCACAGATAAGGTTCGGAGAAGTCGAGTACCTCTGCCAAAGTCACACAGCCAATGACTAGTAGGGCCAAGGGGTGAACCCAGGCAGTATGACTGGCTCCTGACCACTCTCCCCCTGCCTCTCCCCACCTACCCCTTTCTTCGTGGCTGCTGGCTTCTTCTTGCCAATGAGGGAGGTTTTCATTTCTGCATGAGAAAGAAGGTGAGACATGAGTAAAGACAAAGGGAGGTCAGAGGCAGCAGCTCAGTCCACACCGTGCAGTTTCCTGGCAAGACCTTCTAGAAAGAATAGCTTCAGGCAGGGGAAGGCAAAGCTGTCACCACCAGGTCCAATTAATGGTGTTAGGATAGTCTAAGCCAAAGACAGACAAGAGTAAGGGGTTCCCAGCAGATTGAGACAACAACTAGACCTGAAGCAGCAAGAGAGAAAGTCCCTGAACAAATATGAGACCACTAGGCAGGGGCAGATGCCAAACATGAGCCTCAGTTCCTAAAGCAGGGAGCTGCGTGCAAGGGGCCAGGCTCCCAAAGTGCTGTTGGTTACCTCTGGCAGGAAGGGCCCCTTTAGGTGACAGATACATGGACTCTGGAGAGAAACAGACTGTGGCTAACAAGGGACCCACCCCAGAGCCCCCATGTAGGTCCCAAGCCCAGAGGCCTCTACAGAGCTTTGCTTTAGCCCAAGTCAGGCCAGCCTTCTCACGGGACCACTCTAACAGTCATTCTGCTGGCTTCCTGCCCCAACCCCCAAAGGTCAACAGAACAAACTGAGGTCAGCAAATGGACTGTTCACCCTGAACCAAAAGGGCACTAAAGAAAGAGTAGAAAAGAGTGAAAAGCCTCCCTGGCTAGGAAAGGACAGTGTCACCTCCAGTCTTGAGCAGCTCAGAGCTGTCCCCCACGAAATGGACCAGAAGACCAACCCTACCTCAGACCTCAGGGTTAGATGTCCAGTCTCATGCTGGCCTTTCCACACTTTGGCTACAACCAGCCCCACACCCAGAGGCCAAGCCAGGCCTTAACACCAGCCCACCCAGGTTCATCGATTCAAAGGCCTGGCTCTCAAGCCCTTGCAGTTGATGTTGAAGCCATGAATTCAACACGAGTCCCAGTCCAGAGAGTTAAGATGCTCAGTGTCCTGGGGCCTCAGTCCATATGACTAGGCGGCAGCAGATCTGAAAAGAGCCTTTCCCAGTTACCCCGCCCTGCCAGCTGTCATACTGACCCAGAGAAGCTTTGGGTGAGGTGCCAAGCAGGTCCGTGTTGGGGCCATGCTCCGGCTCTGTGGATGCAAAGATGGGAGTTAGGTATAAGGCTCAAAGCTTCCTGTGGCTTCCCCTTTGGGGAGATGATGGAACAAGAGTAGGAGGCACTGGCTTTCCTCAGCTGAGGCCACCAGAAGATAAAGGAATGCCCATCACTCTCTCCAAGGGATTAAAATGCATCCCAGCCCACCCAGAGATATAGGACTCTCCCCTACTCCTGCTCCCTTGACCAGTTTGCCAGGAAGGGCTCTTGGTTGGAATCTGGGCTGAACTCACGTGCCACTCCACTGCTTTCCGTAGACGGGGCTGGCTGCTGGGGCTCTGCTGGGTCAGTGGCTGGTACATCCCAGGCAGGAGGCTAAAAAGGAAGCCAGATCACAGACACCTCAATGAGCTTGCAGGCAGCACAAAGAACATGCAAGTACCTTATGGATACAAGGACCTATTCCAAGCCCATGAGGAAAGGTGACCAACAGTGAGTACAATTATAGTTGCTGTTCACTACGGAAGAGAGAAGTAGGAAACTAGCAGCCACTTTCACCCCTCCACTATTTACTTAGTGGGCACTTACCAAGTCTAACAGCTTTTCACATACAAAAACTTTAATTATCACAACAAACCCTATAAAGTATATACATCTCTACTGCAAAGACTGGGTTTTGACAGGCGAAGTGATTTAGCTACATCCGGGAAATGCCAAGTAGAGGAGCTGGGATTCAAACTGAGAGAGTCTAACATCAGCCCCAGTGCCAGCAGAGGGGAAACCTCCTCCCAGGGTGGGTTTCCAAGGAGGTTCCTTTCACTGTCCCCAGCCACAAATGCCTCTCCTATAGGGGAAGAACCCAGGAAAAGTTGTTGGAGGCTCCCAACAGCTCTTGAGCCTTCAAGAAGCTTCTCCTTCTCCCTAACACCCGTTTACAGACAGGGTCCATTACTAAGGAGGGCCATTTGCACACCTACTCCTGGGCCTGCCTAGCAATGAGCCCCAGACATTCCCTGTCGAGGTATCACACCAAGGCGAATGGGATCCATGACCAGGAACACAGAAGGCCTTGACCAGTTAACCACCTGTCAGCAGCAATCATAGAAAACAGTCCCTGTGGGTACTCACTTGAGTGTGTTCCATGAAGAAATCAGAATCCTTCCTCTCTGGAGAGTGACTGGGAGCACTACTCATACTGTCTATCCAAAGCTAGAAAGGACAAAACACCCTTGAAACAGGCCTCTGAATATTCCTACTCATCACACTACCCAGCCCCGGGACCAAGCACTTACATCGGTGCCATGCCTAGCCAGGGCTGCACTTCCCAGCTGCCGGATCTTTTCCCGGTACATCCGGGCAGCTCGGCTATCATACTTGGTGTTGGCATCACTGGCTGTGCACCCATGTTGGCGGAAGAAAGCTGTCTGGAGAATAAAGAAAGTGCATGCTACAGGTGATTCTCCCAGAGGGAAAAAAAAAGGCAGTCACTTATAACAGCCTAGTTACAGGATAATAATATACTCGTTATTATCCTGTGTAAATAATAGAGGTAAAGTTCTTCATAGAGGTAAGGATTCTCAGAAATTCCTGCGGAAAACAGCTTCCCAACCTGGGATGACTGACTGAAGCCCAGCCCTCACTCAACCCCACCTGAGGACAGCATGCCACACCCGCTGTGCCCATCCTTCACCCACCCAGGCCAAGACCTAGATGACTGTGGAGGCCCCAACTCCCTTGGCCTCTCCCCAGGAACATCTGTCCACTTCAGTTTTAATCAAGTCCCTTTGAGAAGAACAGTGACCAATTTCCAAGTTCAGAGAACAATGTACAGTGCTGCTATGACCAGAGAATCCTCTGAACAGAGAAATGGTGAGGGCCTCCTAGGAGGTCATGGTAAAGTTAGTCCCAGGCAGAATGAGGGCAGAGAGGATGGTAAGGAGGAGCTTTACCGCATTGGCATTCCCGCCGACCTGCATACACCTCAGCTGGAACCAGTTCCAGTTGGAATCCAACTCTGTGGACCTGTGTGCAAGGGCTGCGTGTCACCCACCAGCAGACACCGGGAGCCACTTTCCTGGCGGACTCACACCTGACATTTGGCAGGTGCCCTGAAGCGTTAATCAGCCACCACCCGATTTCCTCAACTGTTCCCTCCTGTCCATGAAAGCTTTGCTCTTCAGTCTCATAGTCAAAAGGGCATTAATTATTTCCCAGATCAGAGGGAGGTTGAACTCTCAGGCACTTAAGCTTGGATTTGGCTTTCTGCTTGAGGACGGCCAGTCTCACTTCAGACGTACTCGACCCATCTGTCAGCAACGACAAGGTCAATGCAGCTAAGTTTTCTCCAAACCTAACGTTCAGAGAGTCGAGTTTGACCGCCAGGAAAGAAGGGAGCTTGACCCAGACTCGGAAACGAACTGTCTATGTGGGAAGGGGTCACACAGGCGATTCCCTCCCGTGGGAGGCTCCCGGACCCCGGCCGGGAGGTTTCCGAACACCGATTTCAGGGCAGTCCAAGTCGCCACTCTGCCCTGCTGAGCACACAGCCCTGGCCGGGTAGGAACACAGCAGCCATAAGGAGATCCCACCTGATGAAGCTGAGATGGACACCCAGGGAGCGGTGCACGCCGGAGCAGTCAATGCACAAGAAAACACCGTACGTGATGCTGGCCCAACTCGGATTCTTGGCGCCACAGTCGAAGCAGGCCTGGATGGAGGAGGCGAGGAGCGAATGATCAGACACCGCGAGCGGAGGCCGGGCACTGACACCCAGGAGAACAGCCCACGTCCGCCCCCCTCTCCTCCCCTCGGGCCCCAGGGGAGCCGGGAGAGTTCCCCTCGGCCGGCGCCAGACCCCGCGCCCGCCCGCTCAGGCACCTTGTTGGTCGGAATTGCGCGAAGCCTCTTAAAAAGGGTTTGGATTTCGGTCTTGGTTGGCTCGGACGCCATTTTCTCTCCTTCCCAGACGCCAGCGCGACTGACGGGCCCCGTCGTGGGCCAATCCGCGACCGAGAAGGCGGGGCACGCGGTCGGCCTCCGCTGAGCAAGGTGCCAGCGAGGGGTGGGGCGATCTGTACTGAGCTGGGCCAATGAGCGCCGGCAGGACCAGCGCAGACACGTCAGAGCCACGCCTCCTCAAACCACGCCCAATCCGCGCCGCGCCCGCCGGGGGCCAATCCGCAGCCGGGGCGGGGCGACGGCGCCCAGTGGGCCGGTCCGCAGGGCGGGGCGAAGCGGAGCGCTCCCCTCGGAAGGTGGGGTCACCTCCCAGAGGCTGGAGCTGCGAGTCCGGGGATCCGGGCCTCGCTGGAGTCGGTTCCCGGTGGATGAGTAATAATTAACAGCCCTACCAAGCGCTCAACGTGCCACCGGCCTGAAAGGGAGGACAAACTGGCTGGGCCGCCCCCACCCAGCTCAGAGCTCAGCACCCAGCCTCTGGCTTTGACCGCCTGCCCAATCCGAGTCCCCATAACATTCTACGGACCCACGGACCTCCCCTCAGTGCCTCTCCCCAGATGACTTCTGCAGCCTGGCAAGGGTGGAGAATCATAAAAGATGAAAAAAAAAAAAAAAAAAGTACACAGAAACCTGAAAACGCTTTTTTATTTTTTTTTCAAGTTTAATACACACTAGAACAAGCCACAAAAGATTGTTGCTAGCTCAGAACAACACTCACCTCACGCCCACCCCAGGAACCCCAAAACACAGAGACCAGGAATTCGGCCCATGGCTCCTGGGGAAACCAAACACTCCTGGGGAGGCCTAGGTACCCTTCTATGACCTCCTAACCTCCCATTTACCCACAGGCTAGACTCAGTCAGCCCCTCCCCTCCCTGACCCCCCAGGACTTCCTCCCTCCTCAAGGGACAGAGGGACAGCAGCGGCACTGGTGCAGGGCCCTCGGGTCCAGCTGTCCAGAAGCTGGGCTCTGGCTCAGGGTGGAGAAACATTGCAGAAGGGCTGCCAGGGCTGTCAGGCCCCCACACACTCCACGTAATTGGCAGGATACAGGCCAATGCGGCCACTCTGCAGCTGGCCCTGGCACCAGCCCTGCTCGTCCTCCTCGCTCATCTTCAGCAGCTCCTCCCCTGGGGGAAAGGGGGTTGGTCATTACCAACTGCCCTGGCCCAGCCCCGTTCCTGCAATTGGGTCAAGGACTGAGGGGAGCAGGCAATAACCCAGAGAATCCAGCTAGGGGAAGAGACCTGGCTCAGGCAGAGGGAAGTCCAAGTCAACAAGCCACCCCACGGGAGACCCTAAATGCAGCCATCAGACCCCAGCTGGAGGTTTTGAGAGGCAGACACTCTGACTCCTGCAGACTGGACCCAGAGCAACCCTAAGAGTCAGAGAACTGACCCTAAAGAAGTAGGTGTCTGGCTTCCCTTTGACACCCCCATGTTCAAGACAATACATGGGGGGGTGGGGGGGCTGAAACATGGAAAGGAACAGGAAAGGGATCCCAGGGTACCTGCTCGGAAGCTTAGCTCATCAGCTTCCTGGCCAGCGTAGTCATAGAGCGCCCGCACCCGCACCCCAGTGGCAGTCTTCCGGGAACTCTCCTCATCCGACCACTCCTCATCCTGCCCACTGCTGGAGAGGGGAGGCAGAGGGGGCAGGCTCAGGGCACAAGGAACACCTTGACCGAGAGGGCCTGGGACCCACGGTCAAGGGCCCACCCCCTGGAGGAGCCCTGGGAGAGGCAAGTGGGGAAGAACTGAAAGAGTCTAGGCTGACCTCTGCCACACCTGCCTGTGAGCTCCGGTGCCGTCCTGCCACACGGGGCTGACATGAGCAGTACGTGAGAGGGAACGTGGGAAACACCTGGCAAACCTAAACCACCGTGAAAACTGGCATCACAGTCACTCGGTAGGTCCTAGGTCCCTGACACTCCATTTCCTTTGTTTTGTTAATCCTCACCTGAGGATGTTTTTCCATTGATTTTTAGAGAGTGGAAGAGAGAGGGAAAGACATTGAGAAACATCGATTGTCTCCTGCACCAGCCCTGACAAGGGCCCTGGGCTGGGGAGGAACCTGCAACCAAGGTACGTGCCCTGCCCTTATCCGGAATCGAACCTAGGACCCTTTGGTCCATAGGCCAACGCTCTATCCACTGAGCCAAACTGGCTATGGCCCTGACACCCATGTGCAACCCACTTCAGGTGTGAAGGGAATGAAGGAAAGGAGGGCAGGGCAGGGCAGGGGCCAGAGCTGAACAACCAAGTTCCTGGCTCTCACCCACCGTGGAGATCCGGGGGACTGAGGTGGGGGCACAGCGCCATCTCTTGTAGGTCCGATGCTGGTCAGAGTAACCTCATCAGGGCTCCGGCCGCCCTTCTCCTTCCGGTTAATTGTCCTCTGTGTGTCCAAGGACCACTCCTGTGGGGTCAGTGCTTAGGGTCAGGCTGTGGTGGCAACCAGGGCCATCCACATCACCCTCACCTCTTCATCCCAGGTCCTAGCCTCCCTCTCCTCCCGAGGCCCAGGCCGAGCCCAGTGGGAGCCCATCCCATCCCCCAGCCCCACCTGGAACACGTACCTCAAACTGTGGCCAGTGCATGGCCATGCCCGGCCCGTGGGTGCTGCGCCACCAGCGCAGATCCTGCTCATCGCTGGCTGCCTCGATACCCTGATGCAGGTCTCTGTGGAGCTCATGGAACCTGTGGCCCGAGGCACAACCCTCAAACTAGGAAGCCTTGGGCCCTTGCACCCACTTAATTCCTTTCAGCCCCGCCAGAGCCCAAGGGAGTGGAAGAGACCCAGCAAGCAAGCAGCTCCCCCAGATCTCCACGCCCACGCAGGCCCTACCTCTCACTGCTGGAGAGGTCAAGGTGCTGGTGTAAGGTGAGCAGCATATCCTTGAAGAAGAGAAGCCGCTGGCGCTCAGCGGCCTGGCAGGTCTCGAAGGCCTGCTCCATGTCTTCCATGTAGCGCGGGGTGTAGCGGTGCAGCTCTGCCAGCGACTGCTCATACTGGGTTTTTGTCTGGGCGGGAGCGGAGGGGACCTGGTCAGCACGAGACTGCCTTCCATTCATGATTCCGCTAGTGTTTACTGAGTACCTGCCATCGGCAAGACCCTGGGGCTAGGCACCAGGGGCAGCCAGTCACAAGATCTGGCTCCTGCCCCTCGCAGCCTAATAAGAGAGGTGACATTTGGGCACAGCAGCTTTTAGAGTCTGGTGAGTGGAGACTAAAAGCGAGAGTAAGATGAGATGGAGGGTGAAGAGTGAGATGAGGTCCACCCATCAGGAGTGGAGGAAATCAGGGAAGGCTTCGTGGAGGAGGTGGGAAACCGAGCAGCACCTCAGGGGGGTGGGAAGGTTTGGATATGCAGAGCTAGAGGAAAGGGCACTCTGGTCAAAGCAACCAATGTGAAAGGTGGTCCCAGGTGGAACCCTGGGAAAGGAAAGGAGCTGGATGGGAAGGTCTCAACTGCTAAAAATCATCCCAATGCCTGAACTTGCACCGTTTCTTTCCCTGGGTAAAGCATCGTCTTTTCTCAGGTTCCTCCTTGAAATGGTCATCTGGAGAGAGGGTGCAGGTGAGGGTGAGAGCAGGAAGAGTGCCGGGGGCTGGGAAAGGCATTCAGGGAGCCCTGAGCCGGGCCAGCCCGTCCCGTGGCGGTACCTTCTCGGCCTCCTTGGTGCAGCGGTCCAGCCGCACCTGCAGCTTGCGCAGCTGGTCCTGGGAGACCGTGCTGTCCGCCTTCGCGTGGCTCTCCCGAGTCTGGGCTGTCTTCTCCTCCTTCCGGGCTCCGTGGTAACTCTTCTTGGAAGCCTCCACCTGGCACACACAGGGACAGTTCCGGGCCCAGCACTCCACACCCTGGGCCTGAGGACTTAAAGGGGCATCCCTCCCAAGCTCACCTCCTTCAGTCTCTTCAGCCAGGGCTTTTGGGCCTTGCGGAAGCTGTCCTCCGCAGCCCGGCTCTCTCGGAAGCCCCCCAGCACCGGCCGGTGGAAGGCCCCCCGCTGCCAGGCACGCACCCGCTCACTGTCCGGCCCGTGAAGCTTCTCCCGAACCTCCAGGTGCAGCGCGCTCAGCCGCTCAGCCGCTGTGAAGAAGGCGTGCCAGGCCTTCTCCAGCGTGCCGTACTGGGGGCCTGCAGGGAGGCACGGGCCTGAGGCCAGGCCAGGAAAGCCACCAGAAACGAGCCCACCCCCTCCCCCCGGGTGCTTTTCCAGGTGCCAAGCACACAGTGGGGATGCCAAGAAGAACAACGATGCCAGCTGCTGCTTACTGAATACTCACTCTGTGCCTTGACACACCAGATCTCACTAAACCATTGGTTCTCAACCTGCCTAATGCCGCGACCCTTTAATACAGCTCCTCGTGTTGTGGTGACCCCCAACCATAAAATTATTTTCGTTGCTACTTCATAACTGTAATTTTGCTACGGTTATGAATCGTAATGTAAATATATCTGTGTTTTCCGATCGTCTTAGGCTAAGATGACCAGATGTCCCGATTTTTAACAATTTGCCCTGCATCCCGCGGTGTTTTAAAAAAGTCCCGATTTTTGGAAAGATTTTTGGACTTTTTTTTTTTTTAATATATTTTTATTGATTTTGTACAGAGAGGAAGGGAGAGAGATAGAGAGTTAGAAACATCGATGAGAGAGTCATCGATCAGCTGCCTCTTGCACACCCCCTACTGGGGATATGCCCGTAACCAAGGTACATGCCCTTGACCGGATTCGAACTCGGGACCTTTCAGTCCCCAAGCCGATGCTCTATCCATTGAGCCAAACCGGTCCTGGCATTTTTGGACTTTTTTAAAATGCCGCAGGACGGGGGCAAATTGTTAAAAATCGGGACTGTCCCGCCAAAAGCAGGATGTCTGGTCACCTTATCTTAGGCTATATACATTAGCGGTTCTCAACCTGTGGGTCGCTAGCAGGGTCGCCTAAGACCATGGGAAAACACAGATATTTACATTACGATTCATTAACAGTAGCAAAATTACAGTTATGAGGTAGCAACGAAAATAATTTTATGGGTCACCACAACATGAGGAACTGTATTAAAGGGTCGAGGGATTAAATAGGTTGAGAACCACTGCACTAAGCCCTTGCCTCGCCCACCACCATGAAGACAGTGTCATGACCAACAGTTAACAAGTGAAAAAACGGCCCACATGAGTGAAGTTTACTGCCCAGAGCATGGCAGCTGCGAGTGGAACCGAGATTCAGATCTAGGCCTGTGGCATAAACCTCTATGCTCTGTTGCCTCAAAAGGAGGAGCCAGCGTCTGTTCCCAAGGAAGGCAGACAGTTAGGGTGAAAAGGTCCCATATCAGAAGGCCTGGCTCCAGCTTAAGCTATTCCTAGCTGTGTGGCTTCAGGCAAGTCTTAGCTTCTCTGGACTTCTGAATGTCCTCTAGAAAATGCGCAGGTCAGGACTGTCTCCATCCTAGGGTTGTTAGAAATATCAAAATAACTCGTGACTGTTATTTTGCAAAGTCTAACATCACTACCATGAGTACCAGGAGGATCTTTCCTTTAATGGGAAGAATCTCAACCTTCCACCACCAGGTGCAATAAAGGAGCTACCCCAGGCCTAGCTGGTGTGCCCAATGGTTAGAGCGCCTGCCTTGGTACTGGAGTGTCTCGGGTTCAATTCCATGTCAAAGGCACACACCTGGGTTGCAAGTCTGTTCACTCCCCATGTCAGTGTATGGGAGGCAACCAATCAATGTTTCTTTCTCTCTCTCCTCTCTCTCTCGCTCTTGCTTTCGCTCTCTTTCTTTCCCTCTCCCATACACTCTCTCTAAAAACCAATGGAAAAATATCCTCATGTCTTGGTTGAGGATTTCAAAAAGAAGAAGAAGCTGTCCTGCCTGATCTCCCTGCATTGGTAGTGCTCTGCGAGGCCCATAGGCTGGCTCACCCTTCTCCACGGTACCCCTCCACTTCCGGGCCCAGTCAGCCAGCTGCTGGGCGTAGGCCTTCTCGATGCGGGCCCGCTCCTGGAAGCAGCTGACCAGGTCCCCGCACAGCCGGTGCCCGTCTTCCACCCGCTGCACTGTCCGCCTGTAGTTGCCAGCCTGGGGTGTACATGGAAAGGGCAGAGTGGCCAGGGGGAAGCCCCCTCGGAGCTGGTGCTGCAGCTAGACAGGTGGCCTGGCCCAGAGGGGTGGGCATTACAGTGCCACCCCCAAACCCATCTGCTCACCTCCCAGAAACTGCCCTCCACGGCCTCCCCTCCAGTGCCTTCCTCTGGAGCCATGGTGTTCCTGCAGCATGGAATGGTGGCAGGCTGGGGCTGTGGAGCACAGAGGTAAGCAGAGAAGCTGGACACGTGCTTTTGGGGATAGGAAGAGGCCCTCTCCTGTCCCTGGGCTTCACCCCCACTGCCATCCCACCACCCAAGGAGCTGTTGTAACTAGGACTTAGCAGGCAGGGGGCTGGGAGTCCCCAAGAGGGCCCAGGACAGGAGCAAAGATGGCAGTTTCAAAGCTGCTTCTCTTACCCTGGGTCTGCCCTCCCCTGCCTCATCCCATGTACCTGGAGCCTAGAGATCACTTCAGGGTCTCCTGGCTGTCCAACTCTCAAAGCTGCCACTGCGACTCTGCCTTGAAGCTAATGAGAGCAAAGCAGGGGGTGAGGGCGGGGACCCAGACTGTCCAGGGCGGTGCCCAGCTCCCCCAATATAGCAACTGCTGTCAGAAGAGCCAGATTCCAGCCAGGAGAATGCCAGGCAGGTCATACGATCCAGCTGGGGATTAGATGGCAGGCGGGCGTGGGTGGTGGGCAGAGGGCCCCACCACCCTGCCTGCAGAGCAGAAAGAGGACACCTGCCCCAGCCGGGGCCCTGCTGCCTTTCCTTGAACAACCCTTTTCCAGAGGAGGCCAAGTCAGAGGGGGCCCATCCACTCTTCCCTGTGCTGGGAAGGGCTGCGAGCTCAGAGGCCCGAGTCCTATCTTGGCCAAGAAGCTTGAACAACTGCATTTTCCTGTCCCCTCGTAAGGGAGCCTCAGATCTCTCCTCAGATGGATAGTCTACCCCCTGGTCTGATCCCTGTGCCAGAGCTGGTATAACACTCAAACCAAGCAATGAGCAGCAGTGTGAGGGGCCTGACAGTCACAAGGAGACACTCATCCTGGCCACAGCACCTGAGGTCCACCGGGCTCTGTGGGTACTGAGCAGCTCAGCCCCACCCTCAGAAAGCTCCGAGTCTGAGGCAGCATGAGGGAGTCAGACAGGTGACTGGCTAGTCCTAAGAGTATTCTCCAGAGTCACAGAGCAGGGCAAGGCAGATTCCAACCCACACCCACCGCCCTGGGGGCTAAAGGACACCGCGGCAAGTGGCCACACCCTCCCTGCCTCTGCGCAGGGTCTCAGCTGTCCGCGGCTGTGACTTGGGCTCCCAGAAGGAAATCGCATCCTCCTTTGAGCAAGCCCAGGGGACTGACTCCGCCAGGCCAACTGAGGACGCAATGTGCCTGTTGCCCCCAAGCAAGGCTCGGTCGCAGTACCCCCTCCACCTGGATGGACCTTTACCCGTTCTCCCAAATCCAAATCGAGGCATCTTATCCACAGCCCCACTCGCCATCCCCATTCCCACAGCCCCTCTGACCCCGCAGTCAGGGTATAAATCCCACAGGATCTGTCCGCAGTCATTGACAGACTTCCTGAGGGTCCAGTTTGGATTCCTCCAGACACTGGAGCTAGTAGTTAAATGAAAACACAAATGTCATTCCCCTGAAGACCAGGAAGCCCACGGCCTCCGCAGCTGCGGGAAAGGTCGGCCTGTGTGGGCTTCCACCCCTAAGCTACCGGGAGGGCTCCGGCCTGCAATGGAGGTGCCTGGGTACAGAGCAGAGCAGCTAACCCCACCGGGCTCCTCAGCACTTCACCTTGCCTCCTCTTGACTGTCCAGCCAGAGAGAACCAGAGCTGCAGCTGTAAATCATCGGCCCGTGGTGCTGTCCCAGTCAGGCACCCTGGGGCCCCAGCCCCCTGCCTGCCCCAGCCTCCAGGCTCCCAGCTCCCTGGAGAGCTGCCCCCGGCCCATCCCCTCTCTGTGGCCCCAGAACAGAGCAAGCTGTGTGCAGGGTTGGCACTGCTCCCTTCTGCCTCCCAGAGCAAACACAAGACCAGCCCGAGGCACAGCCAGGCCCCACAGCCCCGGCTGGACCTAGCGGTAGGGGTGAGCCCGGCACCTAGGCCCCCATGGACGAGGGCCACCACCCTGTGCCTCCTGATCTCAGCAGAGACCCAGAACAGTCCCCAGAACACTCAGCCACAAGCAAGAGCACAGAAAGCGGATAATGAAAAAGCCTCCCAGCCCAGGGAGTCAGCACCTACTGGACCCAGAGAAGTGGGCTGCGGCTTGGCAGGGTCTCCTCATAGCTGCCTGGGCCAAAGTAAGGAATCCTGGGGTTCAGGGAAGAACCCACTCTCCCTGCCTGAGGCAGGTAGGTAACCCCTGCCCTTCCCTTTCCCAGAAGCAGGGGGCAAGCCCTGGGAGGGAGCACTGCCATCCTGCCCTGCCCAGCCATCCTGTCCTGAGTCACAGGCTGCACCCACGAGCCTCTTCTCCCGGCTGCCCCTCCCGGAGGGCCGGCGGCCCGGTGTGAAGGCACGGAGGGGGCGGCAGACTGGTCCAGGCAGGGACACCGAGGCTACAGCGGCTGGAATCAGCGGCCGGGGAGGCTGGGGAAGGGGGTGGCGCGGGGAGAGGGGAGGAGGCAGGGCCTGGGAGGGGCATAACAAAGGGGCACTTTGGGAAACCCGACCTGCCGGGACTGAGGTGCCGGCTCCCCGATGACGCACTCCAAACCCGGAGCTCCCACCCCAAACCTCGGAGCCCAGGGGCTGGCGGCCTCTGCGCTCTTCCCTGCGGATGGCGCCCTGCGGCCGGCCCCTCTTGCCAGCCGGGTGCCGCTCAACTCGGAGCCACGAAGCCCCGGCGGAGCTGCCAGGCCAGGCCCGGCCTCGGAGGTTCTACGACTCCTCGGCCAAACTTGCTGAACTCGGTCTCGGCGGGGGTGGGGCCGGCCGATTGCTGCCGAGGGGAGGGGGCCCCGCCGCGGATTGGAGACGGTAGCCCGGGCGGCGGCCCCAGGAACCGGAGCTCCGGGCAGAGGGCAAAGGGGTCGCCGGGGAGCGAAGGCCCGTTCTGGGGTCCCCCCCCCCCCTTCCAGTCCCGAAGCCTCCCCACCCCCGGGCCGGCCTGGGAGGTTGGTTTCAGGGTGCGCGCCGCCGCCGCAGAGGAGCCGCCCCCTAGGCTCCGCGGCAAGGCTTTCCGTCCCCGCACCGAGCGGGGCGGCCGGGGCTCCGGGCCGAGAGTCGGTCCCGCTGCAAACTCCAGGCGCGGGAGGGAGAGGAGAGCAGGCTCCCGCCGGCGCTCCCGCCGCCGCCGCCTCCCCGCGCCCCGCGCTCCGCACTCACCGCGTCCTCCCCGCGCGCTCCGGGGGCTGGGGTCCGGCCACGCTCCCGCCGGAGTCCTGTGGCTCCGGGCCCGGACCGCCGCCTCCCGGAGCGCCGCGGGCCCTCCCCCGGGAAGCCCGGCCCCCGGCCCCGCCCTCTCCTGCGGCCGCGGCCCCAACCCCACCGTCCGCACCGCGGCTCCCGGCGGCTCCCGGGGCGCGGGCCCTGAGTCGCGGCTCCCGCGTGGGAAGTGCCGGGGCCAACTGCCCAGGGGGGCGCCGAGCCGCTGCAGGGCGTCGGATCTCAGCTGTGCCCTCCCCGGCTTTTGCAGAGTCCGGGAGACCCGTGGGAGCGGGAAGGGATCGGCGCATGGACACCCTTTGGAGGGGGGCCGGGGGGGGGGGTACACTGTCTTACTTTTTTTTCTTTTTCTTTTTTGCAGATCGCAGACTTCTTAGAAGTTAGCTCCAACGTCGCTCACCACCGTCCCCCGGTAAGCAGGAGGCTATCCATTGTGCAGATGCAGAAACTGAGGTCGGAGAAGGTCCGCGACCCGCAGATCCGCAGCGGGGCGGGGCCGGGACTCCCACTCCGGCGCCCGCCAATCCGCGGCGAACTCTGCAGCCCGGGACCCGCACGCGGTCGGGGTGGGCCAAAGAGCAAGAGCTCCTCCCCCTCCGTGCTCTTAGTCCCAGATTTTGTGTCGCTATTCACCGTTAAGTCCCTTCGCCGCCTTTGCCGGTCCCCAGCTTGGGTGGATTTTTCCAGGTCCCCACGATGTCACCCCACCCTGCATAAATCCCTCCTTTCTCTCCCGCGTATCCCCACCCAGGCATTTTTTTTTCCCTCTTGGAGCCTGCCCTCTGTTATTTATAGCCACTGGAGCGGCCCAAGAATGTTCCGAAGCTGACCTAATCGCCACCTGCTCGGCCTTCCCTCCCCTCCCGCTCGCTCGTGCGCTGGCCCGGCGGCCCTGTCCACCGCCTGGCAAGCCAGAGGGGGCTCGGGCCGGTGAGGTCGGACGCCCGGGAGCCCCAAGGATCCAGGCCGCACACATTCGTTTGGGGTCGGAGAGCCCGGTGCCCTCCCAGGAGTGCGCCCTCGGGGCGGGGGGCGGGGGCGGGGGTGGGTGGGAGGGGACACAGCTCTGGGAAGTCCAGGGTCACTCGTTCTCTCTTCTTACGCACTCGATATGCAACCCCCCTACACACACACACACGGGGGGGGGGGGGTGAGTACGTGTGCGCGAGATTTTTATTTTTTATTTTTTTTAATATATATATTTTATTGATTTTTCACAGAGAGGAAGAGAGAGGGATAGAGAGTTAGAAACATCGATGAGAGAGAACCATGGATCAGCTGCTTCTTGCACACCCCCTACTGGGGATGTGCCCGCAACCAAGGTACATGCCCTTGACCGGAATCGAACCCAGGACCTTTCAATCCGCAGGCCGACGCTCTATCCACTGAGCCAAACCGGTCCCAGCATGCTCGAGGTTTTTAAACGGTAGCTTTAAAACTAGCTAAATTATGTTTCTCAATCCGGAATTACTGGCACGTTCTTTGTGCAGATAAATCCGTCCAATGAAAATAGAAAGGGCCCGAAGGGAATGAATGAATGAGGGTGATTACAGGGGGTAGTATGAGCTGCTGAGGGTGGACTTGCTTCGCAGTCCCTGTGAGAGGGTGAAACTGCCTCCCCGAGACCCCGTGAGGCACCCAAGACCTTTGGTCTGAGGCCTCAAGCCGCTTGGCAAAGGGTACCGGAGTGGTGGGCCCTTGCCTTGGCTCTCACATGGGTGTGTGCCCAGCAGGATACACTTCTGAAATCAGGCTCGGCACCCACTCTCTGTTGAGTCTTGGACAAGTCCCTTTTCTCTATAAAACATGACAGGTGACTGGCTGACCTCCCACATGGGCCGTGTGCCCCAGCTAATTACGGATTGTAAAACAACTGCAAATGAGAGGAGCTGGGGCAGTGTCTAATGACAGTCACGGTGGTTTGTGTTATTTAAAAATCTGTTAACATCCCACCTAGGGCCTGAGAGCCTTCAGGCACCTAGGCAGAATGCGTGAAAACACGAGAATGAAATTAATTACAGGAGCCACTTATTAAAACCCCATTAAAAATAAAGGCTGCAAGCCAGGCCCTGGGATGTGGGGAAGCCAGGTCACAGAGACTCCGAAAGCAGGACTGTTAATGAGATCACCAGGAGTGGATGCCGGGTGTAAAACATCTGGCTTCCCTTGGGCTCAATCTGGAAGCAGAAAGCAGAAATGTGGCAGCTGATCTTAATTGCCCCTAAGGTATCACAGGGAGAAAAAATAAACCCCAACCCAGAGCGTACCAGGCTGCTTCAAAAGGGAAAAAGACAGAGCTGCCCTTGGAAGACAACCCCCTGTGAGTGTTGCCCCCCCCTCCCCCCGGGCTCAGATTTCTATGCTCCACAGCCAGAGCTCCCGCACACTCACACTGCTCTCTCAGTGGAGTGCCCGACTTGAACAAGATGACATGCCCAAGGTCAGAGGGCTGGAAAGACAGAAACCTAGAGACGTGGTTTGGCTGGAGGCACCAGGTGGCAGATTGGTCCGGAGCCCAAGTTCAAAACATTCACAGACTCACTCACCTTGAGCATCTGGAATGTCCTAACCCCTGTGCCTTCACTTGTTTATTTATTTAGTCATTCGTTTATCCCAGCCAAAAAAACATTTGAGTTTTTGCTCTATGCTAAGCCCTATGCTAGGGTATTGGGAATACAAAGATAAATAAGGCAGAGTTCTAAGTGTACAATAGTGATTCACTGTGGGCATGAAATACTGCGGGAGAAGAGACTGCCTTTCACTGGGCCTTTGATGGGTCTTGATGAGCAGGAATTAGTCATGTGGAGAGGCATTCTAGGCGGGAGTACCAGGGTGTGCCAAGCCCCAGGGGTGTTAGCATATGACCCAGCAATTCCACTTTTTGGTGTCTACCCTAGACAAACGTGTACAAGTGCATGAAGACATACAAAGAAGTTTGCATATAGTATTGCTTGCAATAAGGGAAAACAGAAAACGAATGTCCATAGGAGTGGTTAAATAATCTAAAGTGCATTCATGCTTTGAATTACTCTGCAGCACCTAAAATATTATACATGGCTTCTAGAGATGTGTTGTTATATGAAGATCTCTAAGGCACTGTTGAGTGAAAAAAGCAATTGCAGCACACACAAAATATTCAGAGAGAACATACACCAAATGTATGTCTGTGATTATCTCCAGTGAGAGGTATAGAATTGGTAAAGGAGACTTTTGTAAGGTTAGAAAATTAAGAGTGAGAATGTATGTATGTGTAAATTGTATAATTAAAAATAGTTTTAAAAATAAATAAAATAAAATAAAATAGAGTCTTTTAGGAGATGGTGAGTAGGTCTTATTGTCTAAAACAGTGCCGTCCAAATAGAATCTTTGGCAGCGATGGAAGCATTCTATAGCCTTCATGTCCAATGCAGTAGCCATTGATATGTGATTAGTGTGATTAAGGAAATGAATTTTGAATTTAATCAAACTTTCATTAACTGAAAATTTAATAGCCACAAGAGGTGACTGGCAACTGAATTGAACAGTTCTGGTCTAGAAAGTTTACGTTTAGAATATCGAGTTCAGGATCGGGTGGAGGCAGATGGGGGATGAGGCTGGAAAGATAGGCTGGGATGGAATGAATGGTGAAGCTTTGCAAGGTGGGCTGAAGAATGAGGACTTTATCCTACAGGCAGTGGGCAGTGAGGATGAGAGTAACTAGATAAAAGGTGACCCCCCCGGCCGCCCTGCAGAGGGTAGATGAGTGTAGGCAGAGGGCTGAAGGCTGCTGTGTTTCTCTCAGTGGTCTCTGGACATGGCCCCAGTATTCCTGACTGGCAGCTGAGTTCAACGGCTATGTTTTTAAGATCTCGGGCAACCCCAGAGTTATTGAGAAGGGTTAACCTCCGAGGGGGAGGCTGTTTCTGTGCTGGAACACAGGAAGAACGGCAGATGGATGACATTAGAGTGAAAATGCATAGCAGGTTTCATAGTGGGGCCTGTAATGAAAGCTTCTCCAGGGTCAGGAATGTGCCTGGAGCAGACTCGTTGGAAGGGTAACTCGGAAATGCCTCTGCATAGCCCAGGTGTACAGGAGGGTTCTGCTCAGGGAGCCTGCCCTGGCTCATGTGGGCCCTTCCCTGGGGTCCACAGGGTCCTCCTGGAAGGTGAAAGAATGCTAGTGGAAAATCCACTTCATTGTCTGCCGTTCATGGAACACCCACTATGCCAGACATATGCCTGGTGCTTGGTCCACAAGGCAAACAAGGCTGGCATGGTCCCTGACTTCATGGAGTTTTCCACTAAAATCAAAGTAAGGCTCAAATACATAATGACCCTTTGTGGTAAGTGTTTTAAGGGAAACAGAAACATTCAAAGGACATAGCACTAAGAGAATAATAGAGGGAGCATTAAGAATATGGGAGGATCAGCCGAAACCGGTTTAGCTCAGTGGTAGAGCATCGGTCTGCGGACTGAAAGGTCCCGGGTTCGATTCCGGTCAGGGGCATGTACGTTGGTTGCGGGCACATCCCCAGTAAGGGGTGTGCAAGAGGCAGCTGGTCGATGTTTCTCTCTCATCGACGTTTCTGGTTCTCTATCTCTCTCCCTTCCTCTCTGTAAAAAAAATCAATAAAATATATTAAAAAAAAAAAAAAAAAAGAATATGGGAGGATCAGAGAAGACCTTTCTGGAAGTTTAAGCTTCTCTGCCCACAAAAGCCCACAAACCCCAAAAGACAAGTAGAAGTCATCTAGGTGAAGAGGGAACCTAGGAGAGAACATTCTAGTTAGAGGGACTGATGTGTGCAAAGGCCATGACATAGAGAAGAAGGGTAGAGTGGGCAGGGCATGGTGAATGAGAGGGGGAGATAAGAGGGATGGGCAGTAATCAAGACACCACAGGAGTGTCTTATTCTGAGAGCAGAAATGAAGCAGAAGAGAGACCTTGGTGTGTTTCTGTGGCCTGGGCCACCTACAAGCTAAGGACGGGTTTCATATTTTTAAACAGTTGAAAAATATCAAAAGGAGAATAATATTTTGTGGTATGCGAAGGTTACAGAAAATTTAAATGTCAGTGTCCCCAAATAAAGTTT